GTTGTCCCCTCTCACGCTGTTCCGGAGTTGGTATGTGTGAGCAGTAAAATACGGCAGAAGTAATGGCATGTCATTCGGGAGACTAGGCGATAAAAGACTGTGGCTTCCATCTTGAGTCCTTGCTTTCTTGGATCGCTCGCTCTTGGGGAAGCCAGACACCATCGTGTTAACACAACCCAGCCCCATGGAGAGGGCCACGTGGTGAGAAACCGAGGCTGCTGCCAACAGCCGGTGAGGCACGTGGACGCCTTCAGATGCAACGGCAGCTCCAGCCAACGACTTGACTGCAACCTCCTGGGAGACTGAGCCGGAACTCTCAGCCCAGCTGCTTCCAAACTCTTGACTCAAAGAAGCCATCGGGTAACAAACGCTCACTATGTTAAAGCGCTACGTTTTGAGGCCATCTGTCACGCAGCTGTAGACAGCACGATGCCCCATTCTTGCAGGGCGTCGTCCCCACGCTGGGGCCTTAGCTGCACCTCCAAGAGCCTTCCCAGCACGTTCTCAGGTGTGGACGATGGTGAAACCCTTGGATCCCGCGATCCCGTGCCCACTGCCACGACTCCTTCGCTGACAGTGGGTCCCGTGGTCCAAGGTGATGATATGCAGGAGCTCGTGTCCACGAGTCAGACCTTCCGCCAGCCCTTGCTCAGCGGTGCTCGTTGCGGCCCAGCAGCAGGAAAGGCAAAGCCATCCTGAGCATGTACGTCAGCCCGGTCAGGGCGCATCGCGGTCCTTTCCAGGACAGAGGGGGCTACTGCAAACAGCTGGCCGGTCTCCTGAACGGTTGTCAACAGGTGATACCATCTGGGGCAGTTAATAGATCAGCCTTGGTGTCCCCAGTCTTCAGAGCTTGTTTCTTCCAGGTCTCTGAGTAAACAACTGAATCATTTGCCTCGGCCCGTGAGCGTACACATATTGTTACAGCCAACCATTTCTCTGTTCTCAAAGAGGATGACCAAGTTCACAGCCTGAAGCTTTGCCCCCCGGAAGGATCTTCTCCTGCTACTGTCTTTTGGGGTAACCCCCGAGGGGGCTATAGCAAAACAGCATCCCGAGCTGACCATGCACGGCCAAGTTCAGAGTTTTTCCTTCTCCATCAGCTGGTCACAGGGAGCATTGCAGGTGGCCACGGTGTGACCTGAGGGAGAAGCGCTGGTGCAGCACTAGTAGGTGACAAGGGGGCCCGGGCAGCTTACCTATGCCCCCTGCACCTTCTCGAGCCCAGGCTCGATCAGACACTGCTTCTGCCTAATGATGGGTCGCTGGCGGTCTGGCCGACCTGATGGCTGGGTGGACGACAGTGCCCAAGCCCTGATGGCAGTCCTGGCCTCGTGGTCACTTATGACCAGGTGCTCCTGTCCTGCTAGGGCCCTGTGGCATGAGCTATTTTTCTCATGGTGTGCAGTTCTCTGCTGAACAGAGCATGGCCTTGCTCCAGAGCCCTGGCAGTCTTCTCCGTGACTCCCTTACGGGGGCTTGCCAGAAACTTCACCTGGCATCCTCATAGATCACAGAGACTTCAACACCACGAAGCCTGCTGATCACATGGCTCGAGCCACTGGGCCGCTTGGGCTGCAGCCTGGAGCTGCTGCGGAGCCTTCCTTGCTCTGGGCCCCCTCAAAGCTGGCACACAGCGCAGGCCCATGACACTCGCTGCGTGGGAATGGGGTGCAGAGCAGGACTTGCAGATGCAACCTTTAGAGTGAGGTTGCCAGACAAAACAGAGGAAGCCGAGTTATATTCGAATTTCAGATAAATGGTGAATTAACTTTTTAGCGTATGTTCCCTGCAATAGTTGGTACTACTTATACCAGAAACTATTTTTTGTTTATCTGAAATGCAATTTTTTTTTTGAGACAGGGTCTCACTCTGTTGCCCTCGCTAGAGTGCAGTGGTGTTATCATAGCTCACTGCAGCCTCACATTCCTGGCTCAAGTGATCCTCCTCCCTCAGCCTCCTGAGTAGCTGGGACTACAGGTGTGTGCCACCATGCCTGGCTAATCTTTCTATTTTTTGTGGAGATTGAGGTCTTGCTGTTACTCAGGCTGGTCTCGAACTCCTGACTGCAAGCAATCCTCCAGGCTTGCCTTCCCAGCTGAAGAGCTGCATTCTCTGTGAAGTCTTACTGGATGCTCTCCCCGCAGAGCTGATGGCTGTCCCCTGAGTCTCCACACCACCTCAGCCAGGGCGCTTTCCTGCCTGTGGAAATCCCCTGGTCACATGTCTGCTCCCTGACCAGGCTGGGAGGCTCTTAAGACAGGAGCCACATCTGTTTCATCCTTGTAATCCCAGCTTCTGAGATAAGAATCGTCATGGAGCTATCATTCTATGTGTGAGCGAATGAATGAACGCATGCATGCACGCCATCCTTGCTTACAGAAAACTTCCTCCTTTTCCCCACCAAAGAACTGCGTCCCAAAGGGCCCTCCTGTAACTCTCAGATGGTTTCATCTCAAATAGTGCCTCACAGTCCGGCCACACTGGTCTCCTTTCTCTGCTTCAAACAGGGAACGCTCGTTCCTACCTCCTGATTTTTGCACATGCTTGTGCCCCTGTCTGTGATTTCTTACCCCACATCTTAGTATGGCTGGTTCCGCCTTGTCATTCGAGTCTCAGCTGCAATGTCTCCTCCTCTAAGGGCCCCCTGCCTGACCGCCTGTATTAGCTCAGGCTGCCATAACAAATTAGCATAGGCTGGGCGGCTTAAGCAATGGAAATTTATTTCTCACCATTCTGGAGCCTGGAAATCCGAGACCAAGCTGCCAGCCATCAAGATCGTGGTGAGGGCTGTCTTCCCGGCTTGCAGAAGACCACCTTCTCGCCACGTGCTCTCCTGGCCTTTCTTCAGGGCATGCACGTTGGTGGGAGGAAGGGCTGCACGCTCTTTGGTGCCCCTTCTTATAAGGGCACTAACCCCATCATGGGGGCCTCACCCTCATGACCTCATCTAACCAAAATCACCTCCCAAAGGTCCCATCTCCAAATACAATCACAGTGGGAGTTAGGGCTCCAACATGGATTTTGGGGAAGGCACCCATATTCGGTCCATGGCACCACCCTCTCCCTCTCCGAGTCACTCCCTCTTATGGTCTTTTGTTTGTTTCTAATTTGTATCACTCAGCACCTTCTGAAATTTCTGTTTCTTTCTTTCTCCATGCGCTATTAGTGCTCCTCCGCTAAAACAGAAGCTCCAGGAGGCCAGAGCCCTTCTCTGTCTCCTTCACTACTGTGTCCTCAGTATTTAGAGCAGCGTCTACCCCATAATAGATGCCCAACAAACGGATGTTGAGTGAATGAATGACTAACACACTACGATGACAAGTGAGGCCACTTGCCCTCACTGAGGAGTAGGAATAAGCTTTGAACACTCAACAGATTGGTGTCACCGTGGCTTTGTCATTTTGGGAGATATTCGAATGGAGACCTGAATGCGTAAGAGTGGTGTAGACAGGAGTGTTGGGGTGGGGGATTAGAGCGAGGAAGGCCTATCCTCCTCCTCCTGGGGGCGGGGCAGTGTTTTTGATTGACAAGAACTTGAAGACAGGAGGCCGGGGCTGGGGTCTCGGCTCCGTGACCCTGGATGTGGCACTCGTTCCCCGGAGAAGCCTCCCTTGGAACCTCTGCTTCTCCAGGTGCTGGACTGAGCTTGGGGCTGTCGTGTGGGCGCGGTGAGGGGTACGTGCGTGGCTGCACGGAGAGGCACTCAATCTCGGCCACTGTTAGTATTGTGATTACGCATCGCCACTCCCCAGATAAGGAAACCGACTCGAGCAGAGGCTTGTTGACTCACTCCTGGTCGCACAGGAGAGTTTGCCTGCAAAGTGCCTCAGCACCGAACGGTCTCAGAGTGGGGGCTTTAAAAATGGCATTTCCTCTCTTGACCTCTTTCCCCTGATTTTTCTTCTTAGGAGATTTCGCACTACCAGACCTTGGCTAAAAGCCCCAGGAGGTTCAACCAAGAAGATCCAATCCACCAAACTCCAGTCTCAGACTAAGGATTGCAGGAATCTAAGTTTACATTCAAGAGCAATCCTAGCTTAGAGAGAGGCAGTAAACCCCTGAGTCTTCCCGTGACTTAGACAGCATCCTCTTGTTCCATGGTAAGTCTAACAAAGGAACGGAGACATCAGCACCTGAAGCTCAACGGCCTCCCTGTAAAAGCTCTGCATTCTGCTCATTAGGAGGACGATGGCATTTTAGACAGGAGTCTCCGCCCTCCTCATGTGCTGGCAAATTTATAAACTTCCCTTTCCTTCTCCTCAAAAAAAAAAAAAAAAAAAAAGAATCTTTTTATTTACAACTCCAGTGATCTTTTCTCTATGCTTGTACTTCTCAAGCCCCTCAGCAGTTCACACCGGGCCCCAGTTTCTCCTTCCTCCTACACGTCCTCCTTGTCATTTTTGCCCTTCTCTTGCTTAGAGAACCAAAAGGCACCTGTCCGACTGGTTCCAAGGAATCAAAGGAGAGGCGGTAGGTGACGTACGTGTCCATCCGCTTCCTGGACATCTCCTTCAGGTGTCCCAGGCATCTCCACACGCAGTGGCCACAACTAAAGCCTAATCTTCCTGCTGGAATCAATTCACCCCCCCACATCCCAACTGCCCGTGGGCTGCCCGGCCTGAGAGCCGGCGGGAGCCTCACCCTCCGCCTCACCCACACGCTTCCGGGCCCACCTACTGAGCTCCTCTCAGACCTGCCGTCTGCACTCCTGGTGGGACAACCTCCTGTGTCATCGTCTGTGCTTGGAGCATGACATCTACCCCCAACCTCCTTGTCCCCCCTTGCTAGGGCTCCCGGGCAGCATTCTGAAGTCCGCACCCCTCTGAACACCTCCCCCACCTGCTGGAGACGCTGACGTGCAGTGCGGGCTGCACGCTCTGTTCTAGGCCGCAACCACGCCGGCCAGCGCTCCTTGCAAGCCAGCAGCTCTCGAGTGGTGGCGAAGAACGACGAGGCCCCGGTGCAGAAGGAGAGCCACTTTATTAGGTGAGGGGCGTGGGATGTTACAGGTGCCCGGTGGGCAGGGACGGGGAGCGGGTTCCTGGGGGAGGAGGCAGCCATGTCGTCTTCCGGCGTGCGGGCTGGCCTCGTGCGAGCCGGGGAAGCCGGGCAGGAGGGATGCAAGAGCGGCGGGGACGGTGCTGCTGGGGAGACCCCGACCAGAACGCAGACCCGAGGTCATGGGGTCTGGCTGGTGTTGGCCCATCCTCGAACCCGCCCTCCGGAGTGGTGGGAGTAGGCCAAGGCCCTGAGGCCAAGGCTGGGGTCTTGTGTCAGCCACGAGGGTGGCCAGGCCTGGGCCGAGGGGCTCCTTGTGCATGTGTGTTCCAGTGAGTGTGTGTCTGTGCACCCACATGTGCTTGTGCATGGCGAGTCTGCATACGTGAATACATGTGTATGCATGCGTGTGTGTGTGTGTGTCTGTGTGCGTCCATGATCATGTGTGCTTCTCCGTGTCACTGTGTGCCGGGCCACCCGAAGCTCTCCCCAGCCTCTGCAGCCTTTCTGTGGACTTCTCTGTGCAGCCCTGTGTGTGTCTCTATGGATACTTGTCTCTTTCTTTGGCTGTCATTGTCCCCAACCCCTGCTGCCCCTGCCAGGAGGACAGTCCCCACACCCTGGGGAGCAGGGGGTAGCACTCACCGGCTCGGCAGAGGCCAGGTCCCTTCCTGGAAGGCTTACACCTTGATGACAAATTCTAGCCCATGGATCAGCTTGTCTGGAGAAGAGAAAACAGACTCAAGTCATGAGCCTGATGTGAAGGGGTCCAGGAAGACCCCATGGTCCCCGAGGTGGGGGCGGGGAATGGGAGCTCTGGAGACCCAGCCACGCCCGGGCGGGGCTTGGAGGGGGCCTGGCCCCCTTCTACCAGCCAGCCCCTCTGTTGTTCTCAGAGTCAGGGCTGAGGGAGGAGATGGGGTATCTACCTCAGAATTATCTGGATAATTCAGGGGTAAAAAGAAACCCCCAAAGGGGAGGGTGGAGGCCAGAGGGTGCTAGCTGTCCTGTGGCGTGCAGGGACAAAACCCCTTGGGGAGAGCCACTGCTCCTGCAGAGGGGGACAGAGGGCTTGGGGACTTACTGACGATGTCATGCACCAGGGTGACGTCCAGCTGGCTGAGCACCCCGTTGACCAGAGGGCACACCTGACGCGGGGCAGAGAGGGGAGTCAGGCAAAGCGGCACCTGTGGGAAGACCCTGGGCGCAGGACAGCCCCAGATAGATTCTCCAGGAAGGTTTCCTATCATTTTGCTGAAAGGGTTTGATTCTAAGCGACAGTCACACGCGCACATTAGGCAGAAGGAGAACCTGCAGGCATGAGGGTGCTGTGATGTGCCCTAAATTACAGGTTGAGCCCGGGGTTGGCTCTGCGACAGCAAGCCTGGTTCTAAATAGGGCGGTGCGCTCTGGTTCTGGGGCGCCCAGGCCTGGGCCGGGACACTGCTTGTCTGCGGGCCTGGAAGGCGGGACGGGGGACATCTCAGGGCAGGGCCGGTGTGGAGAGGCCAGAGCCTGGTGCAGAGCAGGAAGCAGCGAGTGCGTTTGGAAGGATGGAAAGAAGAAGCACGGACGGATGGGTGGGTGGATGGATGGACTTCACTCATCAAACGGAGGGGCTCGGGCCTGCTCGCCCCAGGGCTCTCTTCCGGGCTCAGAAGCTCTCAGACTCAAGGACAACGGGCCCACTTTGTCCCGCTCACCTTGCCCTGCACCAGCTCCGGAAGGACTTTGTTCAAGACCCCTGTGAGGCTGTCGAGGAGGCTTTGAATGGGGAGGGAGCCAAGTCTGAAAGAGAAGGGTCACAGGGTCATGCGGAGGCTTGGGGTTGGCACGGAGGCTTCAGAGGGCCACAGTCTTGACACTCAGCCACTGAAACAGGCCTTATCCACGACGCCCACGTGCAGGCAGACAGGGGCCCAGGCGAGGGAGCGACGGCCCTCGCAGTCACGACAGGCATGCGCAGACACGCAGCTCGGGGCTCGGCAGGTGTCAGTAGGACTTATTAGAGCCCGCAATGAATGGACAGCGCTTAGTGTGCAGTTGTCATGAGGACACAGCGAGATGACACCCGTGAAGCACAATGTACGTGCTCGGTAAATGTCAGCCATGATGTGGCTGACTCTTGCATGACAGGTATGACGCAGTCTTCTCGTGCGACAGGTCACTGAAACAAGGACCCCAGTTAGGCGCCGTGTCTGCTTTACCCCTTACAGGACAAAGCACTTTGCCACCTGTTATCTTGGCGGATTCTGTCGGTGGCCTCAGCGTATTAACAGTTCCCCATCACAGAGGCGCTCGCTACAACCCAACCTGGAGAAGCACCTCCCACGCTCACACAGGAAGCCCTCTCTGTCACCCCAGCCCCATCGTAGGAGGGGCTTAAATTCAGATTTCCTGTTGCCAAATCCACCTAAGACTTGTCAGCTTGGCCCAGGAAGGCATAAGTGGCTGTTGACCCATTCTTTTATCTATGCATTCATAGATAATGGATTCATAGATACCATGCATCCATTCATCTTTCCCTCCATCTACCCAACCATCCACCCATCTACCCATCCATCTGTTTATCCTTGTATCTATCCACCCATCTTCCCTCCCTCTCATCCGTCTTCCCACCCTTCTGTCCTCTCACTCATCCATCCTCCCACCGCCCCGCCTTTCCATCCCTCCATCCCTCGTCGCACCCTGTTGTCTCTGGGCAGGGCAGCCACCCCTCTGGCCTCACCCATCAAGCAGGGAGATGTGCAGGCTGCCCGGGGAGTGGGTGCAGTCACCAAGGACCAGGTGGATCCTGTCCTGCTTGTCTTTCACGGCCAAGAGCTCTGCAGTGATGTTGAGCTTCACGGCCAGCTCCAGCAGACTTCCGACCAGGGGCCTGCCGAGGGGACGCCTGCTGGTATCTGCTCGCCCCCATTCCAAAGCAGAGGGGCTTTCCCCTCGCCAGGAATGCCAGCTTCGCCTCACTCCGTCTCGCCCACAGTTACACTCACCTCAGTGTCCAGAAGGGGAAACCAAGGCTCACAGAGGTCAAGGGAGTTTCCCAAGTGACCCAAGGTCACTCAGCACAGCAGCAGATGAGCAGTTGGAGGCTCAGGTCCGCAAGACTCCCACACCCCCATTTCAGCTACCCCTGGTCACCAGGTGTCCCTTGGCGAGCCATCCTCCCATCCCCCTTTGGGGTCCACTCACGTTTTCACACCGAGTTTCAGGCCGAGAGGAATGGTGACATAGAGACGGTGGCCATCGGGGCTCTGCACAAGGCCGAGCTCCAGCAGCTGGGGGTCAGTGACCTTCAGACTGTCCAGGGAGCAACATCGAGGGAGAAACGTCAGCTCCTCTAGCCCCACACCCCAAAGCCACCTCCACCCACCTCACTCGTGCCGGCGTAGAGCTCCCCACCTGGGATGGGGAGGCAGGAGGGGGTCTTACAGCTGAAGCCACATGGGCTCCAAGTCACACACCAGCCTCTCCCAGCCTCCGCCCTGGGCCCGATGGGACACACACCGCCCTCTTCCCCGCCAGTCTGTGAGGTGTTCTGGGATAGAGACCACGTCGGGATGATATTTGCACCCTGTATGCGGCTGAGAGCCTTACGCAGAAAGTGGCCAGTCCCTGTGGGTGGACTCTGGATTGACGGGAGGGTGGGCGGGTGGACATGTGGGTGGATGGATGGGAGAGCGGGTGGTTAGATGGAAGGAAGGGTGGACGAGTGGATGGACGGTTTGGTAGTGCATGGATGGATGATTCGTGGGCAACTGGAGGAAACCCTGCATAGACAGCGGTGGGTAGGAATTGTGCATCTTGCCATGGCCTCCAATGGCAGGACAGTCACCAGGGTTAGCATGGGATGGAGGAGCAGGAAGTCGGGGAGGAGGAAGAAAGGGTGGAAGTGGGCGTCCTCTCCGAGCCAGCCACAGTGCCGGGGAGTCACGTCTGTTCCAGTCCTGCCAATAGCCTCTCTCTATGGAAACCACAATCTCCACTTTGCAGATGGAGAAACCATCACACAGAGACAGACTGTCTTGTCCCAGGTCCCCAGCAAGTACATGGTACATTTGGAGGTCAAGCTCAGGAAGTGTGTCTGCCTGTCCCCGAGACAGGGAGCGAGCGCCTGGGTGGGTAGAATCTTGATATGGCTTTGCGCCAGCGCACTCAGGGACCCAGGCTCTGCCAGCTCATGGCCACCGAGCTTTTGCTTAGAGAGCTCCCAGGTTCTCATGGGAAACCCCATGCTAGATCTTTCCATGGGCAGCGTATTGTTCTGAGTCGCATTGATGATATAATCGAAGGCGCTAAGGGGCTCCCCGGTGGGGAGAGCAAGGTGACCGCAGCGCAGCGGGAAAGGCTTGGCTGCGGACTTCGGCGAGCTCGAGTGAGGTGCGTCACTCTGGCCGTGTGAGCACAGGCCGGTTTTCCCATTTGTAAACTGGAGATTATGAAATCGACCTCAGAGGGCTGCAGTGAGGATCACAGATGATGCCAGGTCCCCTCAGGACGTGCTCAGAGTGGGGCAGTTACTGGCACGAGAGGGCTGGGGGCCCCTGCCAGGCAGGAGATGGGTCTCAGGACCGAGTGCTGGCTGCACCTTGGCCACCCGCCTCCCTCCTGCAGGGTCACTGCCTGGGGCTGGAAGGTCGTCAACTGGTCCCCTTCCCTAGTGGGGACCAGGGCCACTCACTCAATGATGTTGTCCAGGCCAGGGATCACCGAAGTCACTTTTTCAAGCAGGCCACCAACCAGGCCCCCAAGCAGGCCACCGGAAGTGCCTCCTCCAGGCTTCAGGATGTCCAAGAGCGGAAGGTTTTCCAGAATGCCCAACAGACCCCCAGAGAGCAGGCCATTGCTGAGGCCTGGAAACGGGCGTCAGGTCTCTGGGGGTCAGATCTGGCTGTTCCAGATGCTCAGACCCTCTGCCCCATTCACCCCTGCCCTCCCCGCATTGGACAGTGGGGCGCACACACAGGCACACACCATCTGGAAGAGGCTGTCGCAGACTCACTCACCGCTTGTTAAGCCTTTAGCAAGATCTGTGGGACCCGAGGGCAGGGCTGGAGTCACAGCCAAGGGCAGGGCCTGGCCCACCGGCAAGGGCAGGGCCTGGCCCACGGGCAAGGGCAGGGCCTGGCCCACGGGCACTGGCCCACGGGCAAGGGCAGGGCCTGGCCCACGGGCAAGGGCAGGGCCTGGCCCACCGGCAAGGGCAGGGCCTGGCCCACGGGCAAGGGCAGGGCCTGGCCCACCGGCAAGGGCAGGGCCTGGCCCACCGGCAAGGGCAGGGCCTGGCCCACCGGCAAGGGCAGGGCCTGGCCCACCGGCAAGGGCAGGGCTCCGAGCTGGGCCGTGGCCTGGGCCAACAGCCCACAGAAGACGAGGAGGCCCCCGATAGAAAACATCTTCTCTCTTGGTATCTGTGGACAGAATGACAGGTCCAACATGGCACGGATGTCAGAGGGGAATTTATCTGCCACCGCCCTCGCCCCCTGGGGGTGGAGTTCTGCTCCCCAGAACACTGGGGTGTGTGACTTGTAAGTAACAGCTGACACTACTGAGCAACTTCTCCGTGCCAGGCAACAAGCTGACTGCTTTGCACTCGGTGACCGATTTCATCTTCATCACAACCCTAAGACGCGGGCACCTGCCACTTGCATTGCACAGGTGAGGCCACAGAGAGCTGCCGAGTGTAGGTGACTTCCCCCAAGGTGACAGGTACTACACAGTGGAGCGAGGATTAGAAGCTAGAGCTGTGTGAACCAGAGGCCTCTATTAAAATAAGTGACCACCAGATTTACTCCCCAGCTGGGCTTGCGCCCGGTGACTTGAGTCATTGAGCTGGAGCCTGCCGCCCAGGCGGAGCGAATGCTGGAGACCTGGACTGCTTTGCCACCGTCCCTGTTAAGCCCTGTGGCCTGGGTTCAGGCCACGATGGCCTGTGGACGCCCTCGCAAGTCACAGGATATCAGGTCGCACGGCCATGGCCACCGCCTCAGGCAAACCTGTGTTGGGGAGTCCTGGGGCCACCCTAACCCTCACCACACACAGAGAACCGGGGCACCAGAGAGGAGGAGTGCCTGTCCAAGGTCACGTCACAAATGGATGGCAGGCCTGTGGCTGGAGGCAGCTCACCCAACACTCCAACATACGTTCTATCTTTTCTGTACCTTTCTCTGCTCCCTCAAGAAACCCTGGGCCAACCCCTGAGGTTTCTGAGCCAGATGCCTCCCAGATACCGCTGATCCTCTCCTGGGTCTCTTTGGTCTGGGCATCCAAAGCCAGAGCCGGTGCCCACATCTTGGGGACAACTGGCTGCTTTGGACGTAATCCCACCCACTGGCTGACTCGGCCCCAGCTCCCGGGGGTGGCTGCCTGGAACGGAAAGGTCTTTTTGGTCCAAAGAGCCAGCTGCGTCCTGCCCAGGGAGGTAAACTGAGACCAGGGCCTCTGAATCTCTTGGGCAACAGACCCTTTATGGATCTTGTGGAAGCCAGAGACCCTAGTCCCAGGAAAAGGCATCCAAATGTGCCACATTTTAGGAGGTTTGTGGATCATCTGTGTCCACGTTGGTAACCTCAAGTTAAAACTCTTGCCTTAGAGATTTTGATCTAGGGCATGAACAGCGCTCGTTTCAATATTAGTGTCACTGGTGTCACTGGAAGGCAGAGTGAATGGCCATCCCCACAGCCCCGACACTGGCCAGTCCTGTTTCTCTCGCAAGGCCCCGGGTGAGTGATCCTGAGTTTTTAGCCTGTGGGTGCCACCCACAGTGAGGAGCCCGCCACCCCTGCCCCCAAGGGCAGCAGAGGGGCCGCAGGACGGGCAGGTCTCACCTGGGCTTCCCAGAGGTCTCCGCGGCTGTCCCGGTCTCCTCTCTCTCCTACTCACTTCTGCCGGGGAGGCAGCCTCTTTTATAGCGTGGGAATCAGGAAACATACGATTGGATGATGGGTTTCTAGATAATTCAGAAGTCTGCAATCTGGTGGTGTCTTTCAGGGCTCTCCAAAGTAAATAATTGCTGATCATATTAGCAGGTGGGACAGTTAAGCAATTTGGTTGACAAGTTAAACAGAGAAAAACTTGAGATGGGATGTTACTCAAGACTTTACGGTTTCATGAGCGGGGCCGAGGTCGGGGACCCACGCTCCCAGGTGACTTGGAAGACCGTGCTGGGAACGTTGGAAGAGGCAGCCAGCTGGAGCCCAGGGAGGGACCTCGGTCTCATCTCGCGGCCCCTTCCCGCTCCTGGTCTGAGTCTTTTCTCCAGCGGGAGGGCTGTGCTTCCGAAGTGTCAGAAGAGTCACATTGCACTGGACTTCGCTGCAGCTGGCGTGCCCCTCGGTTCCAGGCCCCGTGGGGACAAGTGCCCAACGACTCAGCGAGGATGTGACAGAGTTAGAACGCAGCTCACTGGACAGTGATGACGATGAAAACAAGGTCGCCAGCCGACACTTGCTGAGCTCCTGCTGCATGCGGCTCTGGCACCGTTTTTCACGTGCAGCATCTCATCAACCCTCACAGCCTTGCGTGAGGAGGGGATGGGGATGCCTGCTTTACAAAGGGGAAACTGAGGCTCAGAGTGTGTGAGATGCCATGTCCAGGGAAGCACCGCTGGCTCGGGGCGAGACACACACTCTCTGGTCCTCTCCCGCCGCCGTCGTAGCGCTGTGAGGTGAATTTCCCGCATCTGTGAATTCCGCGCTTTCATGCCTCCCGCTTTTATATCCGGGAAGTCTTCCTGTGTTCCCAGGCCTGAGGGATCGCATAGCGTCCTGGTCTCCCCTTATCTCCTTCTCCCCTTCCCGGAGGGAAGTAATGGCATTTGGCCTGAGCACTTGGGCTCCATTTAACAGATGGAAAAACCGAGTTATGAAAAGGCCAAGGTCTTCGACCCTGAGAGCAGCTCTTGCCCTACAAATTCTGATACCTTACAAGCAAAAGTAGGGGAAGAGGGAAGAAATGCACATTTATTAAGCACCTGCTACGTGCCATGTGCTCTCCATATTTGAACCTCATCGTGGCCAGGAGTGGTTGGTGTTGTCTCCATGTCACATGAGGAGACTGAGGGTCAGGTGACTACTTCCCAGGGACACACAGTGAATGAGGGGGGCGTTGCTTCACCCCCAGCCCCCATGTCTGCCTGACTCCCTGGTAATCAGTGAGCCAAGCCCCCTTCCCCTCAGGCTCCCCTGCCCGTGGGAGCCCAGCCAGGGTCTGCAAGGAGCACAGGCCATGGCTTTGAACCCAATTATCCATTCCAGGCACTCACTCGATTCTTCCCACATCTTGTATGTGACGGTCATTCTCAGAGTGGTCCCGTTGTTTTTTTTTTGTTTTGTTTTGTTTTTGAGACAGAGTCTCACTTTTGTCGCCCAGGCTAGAGTGAGTGCCATGGCGTCAGCCTAGCTCACAGCAACCTCAAACTCTTGGGCTCAAGCGATCCTGCTGCCTCAGCCTCCCGAGTAGCTGGGACTACAGGCATGAGCCACCATGCATGGCTAATTTTTTTTCTATATGTATTAGTTGGCCAATTAATTTTGTTTCTATTTTATAGTAGAGACGGGGGTCTCACTCTTGCTCAGGCTGGTTTCGAACTCCTGACCTCGAGCGATCCGCCCGCCTCCGCCTCCCAGAGTGCTAGGATTACAGGCATGAGCCACCGCGCCCGGCCCCGTTGTTTTTTTTTTTAATCTTTGTATAACTCTTGTGGGTTGTTGGGTTAGGTGGCTATTATCATTTGGGGAGACTGAGGCAGATAAGGCAAGAAATTGAGTCCAGTTTGTGTGGGCAGTTAATGAAAAGCTTACATCTTCTGGTTTGCAACCAGGATGCTGTGTATGTGTTATGGCAGAAAGTGGGTGGATTTGGGCTCAGAGAGCCCTGGTTCAAATGCTGTGACCCTGGGCAAGTCACTCTAGCCCCCTGCACCTCAGTTTCCTCATCTGTAAAATAGGAGGATAATATCTACCTTGCAGGGTTATGGGGCGATGATGTTTGGGGAGCTGGTATGAATCTCAGTTCATAACCTCAGGTGTCCACACACCCTTCTGATTTATCTGTAGTTTAATTACCATGTCTAATGCCATTTTTCTCAGTAACAGAAACGCCTCCATTTCCCCTGGGGCTTTCATTTCTGTTCCAGGAGCTTCATTTGTGCCAAGGAGGCTGCCTTGTCCTTGGTTTTGACTATTAATACACAGACGACCACGTGCCATCGCCTCCCCCATGCCCCACCGCGCCCCACCGCGCCTCCCCCGTGCCCCCATTTTGCTGAGACTGTGCCTCCCTCCTGTCTGAAAGGCCCGTTCGCATTTAGCACTTACTTTGACCCTTCATTAGACACACAGAACAGTCTTGCTGTTCGTTCATTCTGTGGGTCTCCGGCAGGACGGTGGGGCTGCCCAAGCCCATGTGCGTGGATCTAGACTCTCCTGTTAATCCTCTCTTGCTGGAGTCTTGTCCCCTCTGCCAGCTCTGGGAGGGAACGTGGACACAGACACCCTCGGTTTTTTGTTTTTGTTTTTCTTTTTTTTGCATCATCATACGTAGTTCACTGCAACCTCAAACTCCTGGGCTTAAGCAATCCTTCTGCCTCAGCCTCCTGAGTAGCTGGGACTACTCCTGGTGTGGCGTGAGCCACCACACCAGGATAATTTTCTAATTTGTGGAGACTGGGGGTGGGTCTCACTCTTGCTCAGGCTGGTCTCAAACTCCTGACCTCAAGCAATCCTCATGCCTCAGCCTTCCAGAGTGCTACAATTTCAGGCGTGAGCCACCTCACCTGGCCCACCCTTTGTTCTTGAATCCCATACACCTGCCCAGGGCTCTTGTTGCCCCTCCTCCCGTGCCAAGGTTTGCCTGGGGAGTGACCAGGGCCCCAGACACTACCAGGACCCACCAGAACGAGCCTGTCTTCAGTTTCTCTTCGACTCCCACACTCCACCAAGCCAACATGGAGAATTTTCTAGTTTGGGGGGCAGGAGACCTTGCTTTGACTTCATTACCTGCGTGCTATGCTCAAAGTCTCCTGTGCCCTGAGTTTTAAAATTCAAAAACTCAAACTTTAAAAACTTAACAACAACAAAAAAGAACATAAAGTAAAATTGACTTCTTCTTTTGGCATAAAGTCCTATGAGTTTTAACACATGTGCAGTTTTATGTAGTCACTGTAATAATCAGGACACAGACTAGTTCTGTCCTCCCCCAAACACCTCATGTGGCCCCTTTATGGTCAACCCCCACCTGGCAGCCACCCATCTGTTCTCTGCCACTGCAGTTTTGTCAGAAACCCAGGCCTCGGAAACTCAAAAGACTTCTTTCTGCTTCTGTTGAAATTACCCTTCCCTTGAGGCCACAGGGGCTGCCCGCCACGCCCTGAGCAGGGGAGGGTCTCAGGGCGTCAGGAACCAAGTGGACAGACATGCCGCTAAGGTTTTAAGACTGTCAATGTCCTCTCAAGTTGTTTCTCAGAAGCTGTAGCTTATCAGATTTCGACTATATTTGGGAGCCTTTACTGATGTTGTTTTGTGAATCAAGTATCCATTTTTAAAGGGTAGAGTTGATTTTATTTTTAACAGGCCCTGACCTGCGCAAGGCCTGTTCTTCAGAACCAAGGAAGGGCAATGCTGGATCTGTCTTGGGAGAAAGGTCATGCTGGGGCTAAGTCTGAGAGGGTCTTCCGATGGGCTCAGAAACTCCAGAGGGTCCCCAGGGAGCTAGGCATGCCGATCTTGATTAGGAAAATATGTTCTTAAGTAGAATTACTTCCCATCTGCCTTTAGGAGCAAATAATAGGCCGGGCGAGGTGGCTCACGCCTATAATCCTAGCACTCTGGGAAGTTGAGGCAGGAGGATTGCTTGAGGTCAGGAGTTCGAAACCAGCCTGAGCAAGAGTGTGACCCTCCATCTCTACTCAAAATAGAAAAATTAGCCGGGCATGGTGGCGCATGCCTATAGTCCCAGCTACTCAGGAGGCTGAGGCAGGACGATCACTTGAGCACAGGAGTTTGAGGCTGCTGTGAGCTATGATAATACCACTATGCTCTACCTGGGGTGACAGACTTAGACTCTGTCTGAAAAAAGAAAGAAAGAAAGAAAGAGTGAATACTAATAACCTTTTGTGAGACACTGGAAATGTGTATCATCTGTAACAACTCCATGGGGAAACACACTCAGGGAGGGCCGTGACCTGCCCAGGTCACCTCAGCCGGGGAGAGGACACCTCGGGTTGTCATTTGGGCTGTCCAGCTTCAGTGCTGTTCGTATTCCAAGAACAAGTTTCCGCGCAGTCTCTGGTTCGGAAAGCACCGACCGCCTTCCCTGAGTGCTCCGTTGGCCCTGAGTCCGACGCCCCGAGTTCCCGGCCTGCCGTGTGACGCTGGGCAAGGGGCTTCCCTTCTTCTTCTTCTTCTCTTTTTTCTTTATTTTTAAAAGTTGTACTGTGGTAAGACCACTTAACATGGAATCACCCTCTTACCAGACTTTTAAGTGTGCAACAGACTGCCGTCATCTGCAGGCTCGGCGTTGCACAGCAGGTCTCTAGCACGTGTTCCTCGCTTCCCTCCTTGAGCCTCAGTTTCCTCACTTGTAACGGGGGCCCACGACGCTCCCCTCCCGGGCCGTGGGCGGGTTACAATTCGGGGAAACAAAGGAGGCTCCCAGCCCACGCCTGGCACAGAGTGAGTGGCCTGCAGTGGGCGGGCAGGGAAGCTATAAGGGACGGAGGGACAGGGCCCCGGCCGGCCGCGGTTCTGAACACTCGAGGCTGAATTTCGGCTTGAACCACGCCCCACCGTGGATCCCAGTGTCCTCATAGGACACTGGGTCTGTGCGCAACCAGCTCCTCTGGGAGAAAAGGTGCGAGTCCCCAGCTCCATGAACCTTAACATGAAAACAGAATCCAAGAAACCCGAGCAGGCCCCCGAGGAAGCCCCTGAGCCGCCCCAGGGTGGGGTGAGGACGGAGACAAAAGCTGCCTTCAGCCGGGACCAGACACCCCCCCACACCCCAAGCCACCCCCCCCCAGGCCCTCCCTTGTTTGCTCTTTGAATGGGAGCAGGAAGAGCCCAGGGGAATCATCTGTGCGAGTCTTGGCGTTTAGGGTTGCAAATCCCCGGTGAAGCATTTCAGATTAGGGAGTTTGAATTGAAAGATGGAGACAGGAGGCTCCCTTGCCCTATTCTCCTCTCTGAGTTGTTGACACTTCCTTGTTTGAGTTTGTCAATCCAGCTGAACATATATTTCAGCATTTCCCCTCAGCATGCGTGTGAGTGGGGGCAGAGTGGGGGTGTTGGAAGGAAGTGGGGGTTGCACAGTGGTTAAGAGCATGCGCTCTGGAGTCTGGCCCGAATGCAGTCAACTTGGCCGTTTCCTCGCTGTGTGACCTTAGCAAGAGACTTTACCTCTCTGATCCTCAGTGTTCTCGTGCATACAATGGGCTAACAGTTTTGTATCTCCCAGGGTTTCTGGGAAGCATTGGGGAGATGCTGGATGTATGCCCCAAGCACCAAGCTCAGCACACACCAAGTGCTTAACGCATGTGTACACTATTTTTAATATGTGTGCGTTATTTCCCCATGACTTCTCAGGATGCTTTCCCTACCCTTGGATGGAGAAGGGTGGGAATCAATATTTAATAATTGAACTCAGATCTGTTTGTGCCAACGTTCCTGTGTTTCTGTTCTGTCGCCCTTTCTCAGCACTGTGTTGGAGCCCAGCAACATTCTTGGCACATAGTAGGTGCTCCATAAACGTGGGTTGAATGACCAAGGGCATGGGAAATCTCAACAGCCCCTCCCTGCAGTGAGAGCAAAGCCAGGGTTGGGCTCCTGGCTGCAAAATGCCTTCTCTAGTGTTTCTGGGGTGATGAGCACAACTCGGGGTATGTGTTCTTGGAGTGGATACTTTATCTGCTCTGACTTCTGGCCCTAAATCTCAGGGCCCAAGCAGGGGGGACCTTGCACCATTCTAGACTTTACTGTGGGAGAGGACAGGATGTCCACAGGGCCCAGGGAAAGGTTGATGGGGCAGCAGATGTCCACTGTTAAGGTCCCAGGATGTGTAATCTCCTTCCGATGAACAGCAGGCATCTGGAGGACTGTCCAGCCAGGCACGCAGGGGCTGGTTGGCATCACGGCTGGCTGAGTTCATGAGCAGCAGCCTGTGTGTAAGGAGAAGGGCAGCGCCGGTCACCAGTGTGTCCCCCTTTCCAAGCCCAGGTCCATGCTGAAGGGACGCTCTCACCCGTCCATGGCGGCCATTCACATGATAATGCTGTCCAAGTGATATTGAGTTATTCCCTTCTCCATGTGTCCATTCCATAGACTGTGAGCCCCAGGAGGGCAGGGGCTGTCACTGTGTATCTGCAGTAGGAGTGGGGGTGGTCTCGGGCTGGAGCGCAGCCATGCCCCCTACCGGACTGGGTGGAATCTGGGGAGAAGCAAGAATTCTGGCAACTCAGGTGACTTGGTAGGCACGGCCTGCTTGGTAGGGGTCCCCTCTGCAGTCGCAGCCCTCTTGGGGGACAGTAGTGGTCATCATAAAGTGGTCACCTCTAGAGTGTTCTCACAGAGGCGCGTGCAGACACCCCCAGCAGGCCTTGCGGGGGCTCCAGGGCTGGAGGTGCCTCTTTCAGCCGCTTTCCAACCCCGAGGCGTCCTCCCTGCATGGACCTCCCTGCAGGCACCCAGGGGGCTTTTCAACATTTCTCGCCAGCTGCCGGAGGAGTCCCCGCTCAGAGGACGCACCGGGGCCACCAGCACAGCGAGGAGGCTCAGGCAGGGGTGGGAAAGAAGACGGAAGGGTTGTGGCTGGAAGCTTCCACTGCACCGGGCTTCCCACAGGCAGCGTGGCCGGCGTGGCTCCCGCGTCCAGCACCAGCTCCCCGCCGAATGCCACGCGTAGCGCCGATTGAACCAAACCGGGGTTTTCCTGCCGGTGACTTTTAGTGACGTGAAATGAAAACTTTTATTATTGTGTAAGCCAGGCTGAGTCGGGTTTTCTATCACTTGTAGCGAAGCACTCTGACGACACTACAGTTTCACCGCCCCGGCCTGCCCTGAGACCGGGTCCCAGGCTGGGAACTCTGGGTGACCGCAGAGCAGCAGCTGCTGCTGGTCGTAGTGATGACACGTTCGCAGCGGGAGAAGCACATGGCACTGCTTTCCTTCACTGAAGTCTCAAAAGCGGCTTTATGAGCTAGCAGTCCGAGCGTGCACATTGCACACATGAGTTACAGACGAAGCCACGACTACACACCAATATATTTGATAACCTAAATGAAATGAGGGGAAATGGGAAACATCCATAATCAAAGACATTAAGAAATTGTAAGGAATTTCTTAAATGGAAATAGT